AATATAGATAATTTAGTTTTTATATATTTCCATACAGCACAGATTGGTTAGAGAAACAGAAAGTAGTTTTTTCAATATTGAGAAGAAATTATTTCATTGAAGATTATAGGATAAGCTAGGATGCATTGTGTAGTTTTTTGTGTGCATTGGAATACAAATATAATAAGAGAGGCAATTAATTTCATAATTATGATCATGGAGTAACAGTTATGCAATGTACACATGCTATCAGTTTGGAAATAATGAAAACATAATATGCTCATTTACTGAATTAATTCACTAAATTTGTATTGATTCTATCTGGATTGTGTCATGATGTATCTCATACAGGAAGAACAAACATTTTTGAGATCAACAGTTTGTCAAATTTGACTATTAGATATCACGATAGAAGTGTGTTGGAGTAACATCACGCAGCTACTTCAATCAAATTGTTATGTGCTCCTTCAACAAATATTATTCCTAATTTTACATCAGTTGAATTCAGAGATTTTCGCAAACTCTTTATTTCCAATATTCTATACACAGATATAACTGAGCATTTTAATTTAATCAAAAACTTTGAAGCCAGAATCAAAGAACTAAACTTTGGAACTGAAGATGACATCAAATTAATGACAGGTATGATTATTCATACATCTGACTTCACTGGAGGAGCCATAACCATTTAATTTGAGTAGGGAATGGAGCACAAGAGTGAATATGGAATTCTAGGAACAATATAATTTGGAAGGTAAATTTGGATATCCTCAATTGCCATACATGAAAGATTTAGATTAAGTATGAAAATTATAATGTTAGTAACCAATTATGGCCAAGTCTGAAGTCGGATTTTTTAAATTCATTGTACGACCACTTTGGTCTATCATGTCAAAGTTTGCTGAAGACAGGTTGCAAAAAAGTGTTGAAAATCTTGAATAAACTATTTTAGAATGGGAGAAATTGATGAATAATTGATAAAATTTATTATGTTATAAGAATTCTTTTTTATATTTTGATTTTAAATATTTTTTTTATTGTTATTTATCATTATTTCATAGCAAGACCAGCTTCTGGAATGAAGACTTCTAAGATACTCTTCAATTCAGCATCATCTTGTTTGCTCAATTCACCAGTACTATAATTATCAACAATTTTAATACCTTCTAATTCTTTCTAACATAGCTGGGTAATTTGTTCTGAGATGAGTGAGGAATTTCTCTTCGAATTTAGCGATTTCTGAAGTTTATACTTTATCCAAAAATCCTCTGACACCAGCATAAATAACACAAACTTATTCTTCAGCACACATTGGGACCTAAAATATGATTGCCATAATAGCATACGTATTATTTTTATTTAAGCAATTTCGGTTAATTAGGCACCTCTGTTTAATAATTATTATGTGGCAGCATCCAAATCTGAACCAAATTGGGCAAATGCAGCGACTTCTCTGTATTAAGCCAATTCTAACTTAAGTCTACCAGCGACTGTCTTCATAGCTTTAATTTAAGCAGCTGATCCGACTCTTGACACTGACAAACCGACATTGATAGCTGGTCTAATACCCTAAAATAAATATAGAATTTAAAGATATACCTTGAAGAACAATTCTGTTTCCAAGAAAATTTATCCGTCGGTAATAGAAATAACGTTGGTTGGAATATAGGCTGAGACATCACCAGCTTATGTTTCAAATAACTGGTAAGGCAGTTAATGATCCATTTCCATTTTCAGCATTGAGTTTAGCTGCTCTTTCACAACAATCTGGAGTGCAAATAGAAGACATCACCTGGATAGGCTTCTCTGCCTGGTGGTCTTCTCAACAACAATGACATTTTATCTATAAGCAACGGCTTATTTAGAAAAGATCGTCAATAAATAATAAGAGCATGCATTCCATTGTCTCTGAAATATTCTCCGATAGCACATCCAGAATATGGTGCTAAATATTAAAGTGGAGCAGCTTCTGAGGCTGTGGCTGCAACCACGATTGTGTATTTCATAGCACCAGCTTAGGTGAGAATCTTGACCAAGTTAGCAACAGTTGATCTCTTTTAACCAATAGCAACGTAAATGCAATATAATTATTTATTCTTGTCACCAGAATCAAAATTTGGTTTTTAGTTGATGATTGTATCAATGGCAATAGCTGTCTTTCCTGTTTATCTATCACCAATAATCAATTCTCTTTGTCCTCTTCCAATTGGAACCAAACAATCAACAGCCTTCAATCCTGTTTACATTGGCTCATGGACACTCTTTCTTGGAATAATTACCTGGTGCTTTCAATTCAACTCTTCTTACTTGTGTTTGTTTTGACTGGACCATGTCCATCGATTGGGTTACCAAGAGCATCAAATACTCTACCCAACATTTCCATACCAATTGGGACATCGACAATTGCTCCTGTTCTTTTGACAATATCTCCTTCTTAGATTTCTCTAGAATTTATGAGTTTTAATCACATACCTGTCATTACCCAACACGACAATACCCACATTATCAGTTTCCAAATTCAAAGCCATACCTCTGACTCCTGAACTGAATTCAACCATTCCTCTGTTAGCCTCTGAGCACGCCCCTCTTTTCCCTCACGTATA